TTTTTATTTAGTAACTTTGACTATATTTGAAAGTCCTCACCGTGCTTAATTGACATATGTGTGCGTTTGTAGGACCTACTGTGAGACAGACATTGACCCAGCACACCGCAAGCTGAGTCAGCTTCAAGCTGTGGAACGATACCTCACAGGCAAAGAGCCAGATCTGGAGTGTAAGTCGTGACTTAATGTCAAGCATCGCATGAATGCATCAATGTCAGAAGTATAAAAATGTGTGTTTAGTTGGATATTTTTTTGTTGCTGCTTCTTGGTAATAAATCTTATGCCGCTGTTTATTTCCCCCTAAATGGTGCCATTTATATTTATTAAATAAATAAATTGTTTAATTTTGCTTCTTCTTGAATTCAGTCATCCGATCCAATAAACTGCACATACAGTAAGTTATTATGATGATTACGTTTTTCATGGGTCCATGATTTATTATGTCTTGGTCTGATTTATTGCCAAGAAGCACTGTTACAACAAAGAAATAATCAGCAAAACTGAAATTTAATACATTTTTCTGCTAAGTTTATATACCAATAAGTATATGTCACTTGTGACTTTGTGTGATGTGCAGGAGTAAGCATTTAATGGTGAGTTTTGTACAACTTAGGATCATATATGCCAGAGAATACTGAATCACAGGGAGATGGTAATATGCTGGACATTAGAACAGGGAATAAACAGTAATGAGTCACAACGTGACTCGAAACTGGAAATAAACTCAGCACAAGATAGAAAACTGTAACCAAAATGAATCAGGAAGACATCTAAACAGGGAATACTTTGTTACCCCCACAAGGGAGGTAGCAAAGAACAAGTAACACAAGCAATGTTACAAAAGAAACAGCACTCAAACATACTGTAGGGTCATTCTCAAAATCCAAAAGAAACGTTAAAAGCACACCGTTATACTTATGTTTCCTTCTGCTTTCTCTGAACAGGTGATATGCAGCTGCTGCAACAAACGCTGTTTGATGCTGTGGTCACGGCTCCCATGGAAGCTTACTGGAATGCCCTTATGCTCAACGTATCCAGGTGGAAATGAACACAAATGTTCCTTCAGTTCATGCCACCAACTTTTTACACAGTTGGTGATTCTTATCTATACTAACATATATTTTTCCTCTTTATGTGTGTATGTGCGTTTGTTTGTTTCTCCCTCTTGCTCTCTCAGTATGGATGAGGGAATTGAAACAGCATTCTTAGGGACCCGTTCAGGCCTCATAAGGTTTCTGAGGTATGCCGGTATCGAGAAAAGAATTGGCAAGTGAGTAAGAAAAGTCCAACTGCATCTATGTTGTCATTCTATTATATTCAAAACCAAATAGAAACTGGTGTCAAAAAAAACTCTATAAAAGGTTTACCTTAGACTAATGGTAATTGAAGACCTGATGATGACTTTATGCCCCCT